CAGTGGTACGGGTACCACCTGTGGTACATTGGCACCTGGCAGGTGGTACGCGACCATCCTAGAAAAGTGGTAGCGGGGGAGGGGAATGAGCTGAACCGGTGGCAGCACCGCACAAGCCTGAGCGAGAGATGGCTGGAGCTGCAGGGCTGTCAGGGCTCAGCGGAAGCGCCAGGATCAGCGCCAGGCTCCAGCTGGAGCTTGGCGCTGATCCTGGTGCTTCTGCTGAGCCCAGAAGAAGCACCAATCAGCTGGAATGTTGCAGCATCTCCAGGGTCTTGTGATTTACATTCAGATGCTTGGCAACGGATTCATATTTATGACGGTCAGTCTCCCAGGGTCATGTGAAGTGACCAAAACCTGCTGCAACCACCCAGCAGACGGGGGGGGGAATAAAAACCAAACACTCCCCACCCCACCCCCACTGCCAATCCTCAACAGAAATGCTCACAACAATGAAAACCTCGGACAGGAGGAAGACGGCTGCCGGGTGGGCAGGTAGGTGTCTTGCTCGGCTGTGGCTTGGAGGGGGGCACTTTTTTCAGTGCCATTGTAACTTCGAACAGTCACTAAGTGGACTGTTGTTTTTTTCCTTTTTTTTTTTTTTTTGTCATCAAGTTTTTGACACCTTGCTAGGCGACTGGTGGTACTCGGATGTTCTCATATCCTAAAAGTGGTACAATGGGTGAAAAGGTTGAAAAGCCCTGATCTATACGATCCTGTCGCCAGCGCCTTGGTAAAATCCAGATCTTTTTTGTTATACACAGAAAGGGAGCCAAAGCAACCCGGTTTAGGAAGAAAAGGTATTTTTGCGCGTTGCAAGACCCAGATCGGGTGGGAAAAGGAAAGCCCCTCCTTGTATGTTACAATGTAAAAAATGCAGCATAAAAAAGCGAAAACGAAACAGTAAAACCGCCACTCCCGCTCTTTCAGGATTTAAGGTTTTAAGAAAAAAAAGGGAGGGGTTTTTAGAAAAACTATCTATCTATGATCTTACCTGCCATGATACCTCAAGATTCAACTGATACTCGACAGCGATGACAGGGGAGCAAAAAGCTCGCGATCAACAGCAATTCCACCTCTGGGCAATTGTGAAAGTGAAAGAAACACACCGATTGCGGCAATTGTTTCCTTTTCCCGCCCATGAATTGAAAAGGGGGGAAAATGCTGGCCCCAACCGCCGTGGGAGTATCCTGGAAACAGACAACCGTTTTGGGGAAAAACTAATTTGCCTGTCCTTGAGTTTTCGAGGGCCGCTAGATATAACGGGCTGTTACATTTCATAACGTTTTGATATCAGTTTTTTCCTTGATATTTTCACCAAAGAAGAAGGAAGGGTGTTGCAAAATTGTTTTAAAAGTTCCGCCAAATAGCAGCAGAGGGCGCAATCGTCTCTTCCATAATGATGCCTCCTAAGGATATATGCAGGCACGTCGATTGCTTTGAATGTTTATGTGCCATCAAAACGTTTTCCAGTTCTTTGTGATCACATAGATACGATTTTCTCCAAGTTTAATATTTATTAAAAAATGGTTCGGTCTCCTATTTTCTGTGTTTGAAATGTTCAGCTCAGTGGATTCCTTATTTGGTAGCATCTGTCCCATCAAGCTGCAGGAAAAGGAAACACAAAGCTGAGGCATTTCCTGGCACTGCTGAAAAATCTGGCTTGTTCCCCAGTGCTTTTCCGGTTTCCATGTCAGAACTGGATGTTTGTGGTTTTCTTCTTCCCTTGTTTCCCCCCTTCCTTTTAAGCTACTCTTTTTTAGATTGCAGACCAGGGAGGTAGATATAAACATCTTCAAACGAAAGAACAGAACTGAAGAAGCTTCTTGAATGAGAAATGAAACATCTTCAAGGAAAGACAAAAGTCCAGTTGCCTTTTGAAAAAGCACCTTTGGGACAACCATGACCTGGATGGCTGAGAATCTCCACAGACATTCAAACGAAAGAATGCTCTCTCAAAGTGATGAACAAATCGTAATTTTTTGAAATATATATATACAATGAATAAAACTACATATCACAGAGAAAACAGCTAGGATATTAACGGATTATTTAATTGGTTCCTCAACAAATATTGTAATCGGTTACAAAATGATAAAAGGTTTGTTGCAGTCTTTGCATTCCACAACAACTGCCACATCAAAAAGAGAAATACTTCTTTTCTGTACTCTCCTCCACCTCCTCAGTTGAGTAACATAGGGTTCTGATCCCAAACTCGTTAGGCCTTTTAAAAATACTTTAAAGATACAATTACTTTTAAAATATTTGAATCAAATTGAAAAAAATCAGGAAAAACTGGATTTCTAGTATTTTGATATGTTCTGTGGGACTGAGCTCATCAAGTACTTCTTAAAGAGAGTGATACTGTCTAAATAAGATGTTTATTTGCTCACATTCTTCCCCCTTTGCTTTCTTCTTGCTGAAGTGTAAAGGAATCACTGTTTGCAAAGAATTGTGAGAGTCACTGCATTGGGCAGAGATTTTATGCACTATGCCAGCTTGGTGTAGTTGAAGGTACTGGGTTAGAAACCAGGAGACTGTGGGTCCTAAGCCTCCCTTAGACAGGAAAAGCAACTGGGTGACTCACAGGGTTCTTGTTGGGGAAAATAGATGGCAGGAATACTGTATAGGTAGTCTCAATTTACGACCATAACTGAGCCCATAACTTCAGTCTTAAGTCATGACACTTTGTAAAGCGGGTCACCACATGGCTGCATCCAATTTTATGATCTTTTTTGAAGTAGCCATTAAGTGAATGTGGCAGTCTTTAAGAAAACCCATTGTTCACTATGGAATGTTTTTTTGTTGGAAATCTGATGTAATGCAGACTTGTGGGAAAAACATCATAAATTGCAGTTATGCAACCATGGAAAGCTGTCAATAACTGTAAATGTGGGCCAATTGCCAAGTGCCCAAAATATGGTCATGTGACTGCAGAGGGGGAATGTCATAATTTCAAAACCAGGTCCCATTTTCAGGGTCTGTTGTAAGTTTGAATGGTCACTAACCTAAGATCATAAGCTGAGGACTACCTGTATAATCTATGTTTGCCACATTGAGTGATTTGTAAAAAAGGCAGGAAAAAGATCTAGTAATAAATAACATTAACAATAAGTCTGCAAAATGCATGGACCTTGATGGTTGCCAAGACTAAGATGGGAAACGTTTTTTCACCTTACATTGGACCAGTCCATTCTACTAAAAATGTTGGGCAATCTGCAAATTGCTGGAAAAGACTACAGAAGATGGGTACTATCAAGGACAGGAGACGGCAGGAGTCATGTAACAGAATAACAATTCACAAATATCACATATATTGTCACGTTATCAAATATTGTCATTATCACAAATACTGAGTAGGCAAAATGCTCACAAACTCTTTGCCATGGATTCATTTAAATCTCTCCTTTTAAAAGTGGTCTTCAATTACAATAAGCACAAAAATAGGCATTAAGCAAATAATTCATGTTTAAAGGCCTGCTAAATAATCCAAGCGATAGCACAAATATATAGCTGAAACGTATGTTTTCTTTCTTTCACCTTCGAGGACCAGCAGCAGCCTAAAGAGTTGATTATGACTGGATTGTTACTACTTTGGATCAATTACCTTTAAAGAAGAACTAGACAACTTGTGGCCCATTGGGTCATCCTTTCAGAGATATTTCCATTGCAAATTCATTACGTCTTCAACAGTAACAAAGCTTCTAATATACTGTCTTCACTGGAAAGGTTGGGATACTTTCAGAGATGTATTGGCCTTGAAAATAGTCCACATTAAACTCTATAGTATAGTCAAACATCAGCATAGGAAATGTTTTATGACATATTATATTACAGGTAGTCCTCAACTTATGACCACAATTGAGCCCAAAATTTCTGTTGCTAAGCGAAACAGTTAAGTTTTGCCCCATTTTACTACCTTACCGGCTGCAGTTGTTAAATGAATGACTGCAGTTGTTAAGTTAGTAACACCCTTGTAAAGTGAATCTGGCTTCCCCATTGACTTTACTTGCCAGAAGATCACAAAAGATAATCGTATGACGGCAGAGGTGGGATACAAATATGTGAACAACCGGTTCTCTGTGTGGATGCCGCTTCTGGAAGTCCAATCTGGGCCTGGGCAACAAAAAATTAGCTACTGGTTCTGCCGAAGTGGTGCGAACCAGCTGAATCCCACCACTGCATGACCCCAGGACACTGCAACTGTCATAAATATGAATCAGTTGCCAAGCGTCTGAATTTTGATCATGTGACTATGGGAATGCTGCAATGGTCATAAGTGTGAAAAACAGAAGCCACTTTTTTCAGTGCTGTTGTAACTTTGAAATGTCACTAAATGGTTGTAAGTAGAGGACTACTTGTATGTTCTGAACTGGTTTATGATAATTTTATGTCATAAAATGTTTTATAAAATTTACCATATTTCAATTCCATGGGAGTCACAGGTCCTGGATTTTGGATGAATTTTGCAAGTTAGCCCACCTGAGTTCCTTGGTTCAAAAATGGTTGCTGTATGATGTATTATTTTGCCCAGTTAAATGTTACAGGAACAAAAGTTTTATTATTATACAGGTTGTCTAAAACAGCATGTATCCTTCTTGATTATAGATCTAGTGTTATCAAGAATTATGGATTGGGGCTATCTGAACAATTAAGAATCACTGCAGGGTGAAATCTATATCTCATCTGGAGCAATGAATTGTCAGTGTGGTGTTTGCCAATATTTGGGTTTTTTGGTAGGGTTATTAAATAAATAAATAAATAAATATACATACATAGACCAGAGTTCCCTGTTAACCACAAGTGGATTATCACATTTATAATATGCTATGAGGGCATGTTCCATTAAGTGGAGTCTGCATTGAAAGGCAGAACTGGAGCAAATGGTTGGTTGAGCCAGAGCCGAAAGTGGTTAAGACTCCTCAGTTTTGCTTTATGACACTTCTGTTTTCTAACATCTCTCTTGTCTCTCATTCTCTGGCTCTGACTCCCACTTCTAAGTCTTCCAAGAAGCAGATCATCAGGGAAGGGACTGACAATTTGACCAAACACTGAATGGATCGCTCGCATGGAGCTTTTGAAATCAGACCATGAGCCACATACAACACTAAGTCCAATGGGAAAACTTCCAATCTTGAGAGGATAGTTTGCATAGATCTGTTCAGAAATCTTACAGTGGATGGAGTGCAAGAAAGTTGCAAATGGCAGTGATGAATTCTTGGGGTTGATCCGCATGAACCCAGTGCCCTGCATTGGGAATATGCTGGATTTCAGCATCAGGAAAGAGACGCTTGATCTCAGAGTAGTTATTGGAACTGCAGAAAAGTAGACACAGAAGTGGGAAGGAAACAGAAAAAATTGGAGTAACAACTTTGCGGTGTTTATAAATTATATCAATCAATATAATATGATAATAAAATAACTTGTTTGTACTATATAAAGTATAGGTAATTAGTTGTTTGTGAATGAGAGAAACTAAAAGGCAGTAAAAAAGAAACTTAGTGAAAAAGGACCTTATGCTTTCAACTGACCCTAAAAAGCAAGGTGGAATGGCAGACCATTCTGGAAACCACAGTTAAACAGCAAGTCTGTGATAGAAACATCCACCAGATCTAAACTTCCAAACTATCTTTGGCCTAGCTATGCAAAATACAATTCAGATTAAATCATGCCTAGGTTCAAAAGCATCATCTGCAGACACTCAGCAAGACAAATTTACCTTTTGGGGCATGTAGATTATAGCCTACTGTTTACTGAGAATTGTTTGATATGCAATGTAAAAAGATTTCAGGCTGCAACCCTGCAGATATTATTTTAAATGAAGCTCCAAATCTCTTACCTAATATAGCCAGATTTGGAACCCCCAAGAAAGAGAGTAGGGCCTAAATAAGATGTCTGGAAGTCAGGAAAACTCATGAGGTCATTCAGATGGTGTGAAATGGCCTCTAGATTCACGCGCCATACAAATTGGTCCTCAGCATTCACTAGGTTAGTAAGTAGAAAGTAGAGGATAGTTGGCTCCTACAGAAAAAAAAGGGATGATGGCTTAAATATGAAGCATAATCCTTGGGCAGTCATTTTGTGTGACTACATCCAAATAAAGCTGAATTTGGTAAATTGATTTACGTGTTGTACATGCCCAGCTCTGAAGAATGATATATTCTGTTTAAAACAATACCACACTAGCATATATCAGCACTATTTCTTGTTCCACACTTTCAGAAAGGTAAAGTAGCTTGGATCTGAAATGTATAACGTGTGCTCTCTGACAAAAACACTGTACCTGAATAGTTGGGCGCAGTTGTTCTTCGGCCATACGACGTGCAGTGGAACGAGGAATACCTTTAGGGATATCCACTGCTTTCATGGCAGCAATGAACTCCTGAAAGCCACTGACATCTTTTGTTGGGCTAGGACTGATGTCAACACACACTAAGCGCTCCACCAGTTCTGGCTGCAAAGGAACAAATTTGGTGAAAGAAAAAGGAGATCATAGAAATCATTGGTTGAAAGAGCTGTCACACCAGTCCCTATTTCAATCAATTAATCAGAATAGAGCTGGAAGGGACCTTGAATCTTCTATCCCAACTCCCTGCTCAAGCAGGAGACCCTATACCAGGTATAGGCAACCTTGGCTCTTTTATGACTCATGGACTTCAATTCCCAGAATTCCTGAGCCAGATGGGTAGCTGTCCAGTCTTTTCTTAAAAATCACCAGAGATATGAAGCACCCACAACGTCTGAAGGCAAGCTGTTCCACTAGTTTATTGTTCTCACAGGTTCAAGTCTATTCTGAGGCATAGAAGCTCATTGGCTGACTTTAGGCCAATCACTTTTTTCAGCCCAACCGCTTGGTGTGGTTGTTGGGGGGCAAAGTAGGAGATGCCACTACATCTTTTGGGAAGCTCCAAACTAAGGGATCTGCAGTGAGTTAAAGAGGTCAGTTACATCCCAATATTTAGTTAGGTCCTTGTCGGCTTATTAAGGCACTCCAAGCCTGACTAGTCCCATCTGACACCTTTGACAGAAGGTCAGGATCTCTATAAGAAATCATTGCACTAGTTATATTGCAGAATTAAAGATGACAAATAAAAATAAAGCCAGAAAACATTCAGTATATGAAGCTCCTTGTTGACTCACCAACAAAATAAAGTAGAATTCCTATCCTGATCAGAAGTAAGTGAAGGTAAACTCAGCCCTTCAGCTTTGTTTTCACTTGTCAAATAACTGGTTGATGGTATTTCATGTATATTTTTAAGAGTTGCCTAATTCCAAGTTGATTAGTTTCCATCCATTGTTTCTTGTCCTGCCTTCTGGAAAATAAGTAGCCTAGCCTAGACTCTAATAAGAATTCTAAGGCAGATTCAGTGTAACAGACAAGAATTGTTGTCTGATACACTGAATCAGTTTCCATCATAGACATTGTAAGAAGAAAGGGAATTGTGTTTCAAAGAAAAAGATGCATAACCTTACGTCTGACTAGAATTTATGTCTTCTACCCCCTCTTCCAGAGGAGAATGAATGAATCAACCATGACCAACAGTTGCTACACCTATTATTATTATTATTATTATTATTATTATTATTATTATTATTATTATTATTATTATTTATTGTATTTTTACCCCGCCCTTCTCCTTGCGGACTCAGGGCGGCTAACAGCCTAATAAAAACAAATACAAAAGTACAAAATACTACCATTAAAACATAATTAAAAGGAAATATTAATTTGGCCTTTGTTATTTTAAAAATTATTTTAAAATCCAACTAAAAATTTCCCCTTAGGCCAGTCCTGCTAGCTTAAATAGCCATGTCTTGAGGGCGCGGCGGAAGGAAGGGAGATCCGGGATCACCCTGATCTCTGGGGGTAGTTCGTTCCATAGGGTGGGAGCTCCCACCGAGAAGGCCCTCCCCCTGGGGGTCGCCAGCCGGCACTGTCTGGCTGACGGCACCCTGAGGAGACCCACTCTGTGGGANCAACACCGCCCGCGCGGCTGCATTCTGGACTAACTGGAGCCTCCGAGTGCTCCTCAAGGGGAGCCCCATGTAGAGAGCATTGCAGTAGTCCAGGCGGGAGGTGACAAGGGCATGGGTGACTGTGCGCAAGGCGTCCCGGTCCAGAAAAGGCCGCAACTGGTAGATCAGGCGTACCTGATAAAACGCCCCCCTGGCCATGGCTGCCAACTGGTCTTCCAGTGTCAGCCGTGGGTCCAGGAGGACACCTAGATTGCGTACCCTCTCCGAGGGAGCCAAAGTTTCGCCCCCTATAGTCAGCGACGGAGTTAGCTGACTATGCCGAGGCGCCGGCAGCCACAGCCACTCGGTCTTGGAAGGGTTGAGTCTGAGTCTGTTCCTCCCCATCCAGACCCTTACGGCCTCCAGGCATCGGGCCATCACGTCAAGGGCATCATTGGGGTGGCCTGGGGTGGAAATGTACAGCTGAGTATCACTATTCTGCAGCATGCTCTTCTAACTGAGTGTAGGCACTAAAATAGGGAGAAATTATACTTAAAAATTGTAAAATTGTAAAATTGTAAAATTGGCTACATGTTTGTTCTGCAATTGTTTCAAATTTTATTTTCATCATCCCAGAAAATTAGATGTTGACTGTCCTTGTTAATTTGAAATATAGCATACACATTTTGAGGAACTTCAGTTCTTGTCTGTTTGTGTGTTCTGAACTTGTACAACTATGTAAGTCTAGGACTTTGTAACTAATTAAAAATAAGAATAGAGGAAATGTTTTTTTAAAGCATCTTTTGCGTGCTGTGGCTTCAGACAAAAATATGTTTTTTAAAGCCTGAATTGTAAAAACATAAATTATGCAAAATGAGATAATTTGCTGTCATTTCTCTCCAAACTGGTTTTCCAATGGTGTATCTCATCTTCCCTTTCTTGTCACCTTTCTCAGTATTATAGACTCATCTAGAGAGCTAGGTCTTCACATGGTATTCCAAATATTATAATTTGAGCCTGCAGATTTGTGCTTTAGGTGGCAACGCCAGATCAATTTGTTCTCTGATCAATTTATTTTTACATTCATTATCCATAGAAACTATAAATTGTTATATTGTTGTTCACAATATCATATGACAGGATTTCCTAAGGGACAGTCAACTTTTGATATCTATTATATATAAATCTTTGAGTTGCCATGGATGTAAACTTTATGTTCCCCCTTCATGCCCATACACAAATTTCTGGTAATAAAATATTTCTATCTGCTAAACATCTACTTTTCCTCCTCTCTCAATAACCAACTCCCATTTTGTCTAACAGGCCATATTACTCCAATATCAACAGTAAAATACTAGAAGAAGAATTAATCAAAAATGCATACCCATTGTAGTGCGAATACCATAGCTGTCTTGCCGCCCATGCTGTGGCCAATTAAGACACACCTACTGAGATGTAGCTGTTTCAGAATGAGATGGACGTCAGCACTCATTGCTTCATAGGTCATGATGGGGCTATGGGAACTATCCCCATGGTTGCGGGCATCTATTGTTAGCACCTATCTGGGCAAGAGAAGAGGGAAGCCAGCAGGTTGGCAAAGATAAAGCCATACTTACTTAAGAATCACCAGAACTATATTTCAAACAGACATGATGAAATTATTATGATCCACCAAGGAACAGTCTAGCTGTTGAATTTTCCAGTACCTGGAGATTCTTCAAAGGTAGCCTCATTTAGTACACAGTTGTGTAGTCTAGTAGTTTAAACATAATGTCACCAATACATAGGTGATTATTACCAGGTCTGACCAGCTCAGGAATTGTTGCAATAGATACAATTGAGGAAGTTGCAGAAAAGCTTAATTACTATTTCCATCCCATAGAGATTCAGGAACAGCTCTGGATCAAAAAAATTCTTCAAAGCTGCAAATCAGACCATGTAGGACACAGGTGTCAAACTCGCCACGACATGTGATGTGTCACAACATATTGTGACTTTTTTTGCATTGCCGGAGCTGGGGTAGGCGCGGCCTCCACATGATGCAACCGGCCTGTGGGATGGCAGTTTGACACCCCTGATGCAGGGGAAGTTTAGCTCCTTTTAATAGGTTGATTTTCCAAGATTGCATTCCTTCTCTCTTTCTCTTGCATAGTTGTAATATATTTATATTAAAACTATGTAAGATAGATAGTGAGAGAAGAAAACCATCCAAGATTTAAAAGAAGTGGTTAATTTATAGCTTTGGGTTTAATTCCAGCCCAATATGGACTCATTTTGAATCATATCTTAGCTAAGTTTGCAGACTTCCCAAAAAGGCATTGCATAAGAGTTGTATTAAATTATAAAAATTAGAATAACCTGCAGGTTCAGTGTTGTAAAAGAGCAGAACAAATTATTTGAGATTTTT